TTTCGCTTTCGGAGCTTACTAGTAAAAAATTTATGATCAAATTTTTTGTCAGTACATTTTTTCGATTGTTGGGTAAAGTTCAAAATACCTAAAGTGTATATATATATTATTTTTTTGCTTAGTTGGGTGGACGAGCTCACAGCCCATCTGGTGTTAAGTGGTTACTGGAGCCCATAGACATCTACAACGTAAATGCGCCACCCACCTTGAGATATGAGTTCTAAGGTCTCAGTATAGTTGCAGCGGCTGCCCCACCCTTCAAACCAAAACCCATTACTGCTTCACGGCAGAAATAGGCAAGTTGTTGGTATATGTATAGTATATCGTTATGTTTAGATTCAAATAAGTAGTATCTTGTGTTTTAAATTAATAGGGGAGAAAATCAATAAGCATACGCCTATTAGACCTACCTAAGAATCGAAAAAAAATAGCTTTATAAAATTATGGAACGTCCAATCAAAAAAATCTTGACCTACAAATTCCTCGACGTCAAAAACTAATTCAATTTGTTTACAGAAACAATACGTTGCGAGTTTCAGAGTTTGTTTATGCATAAAACGTTACGTGCCTTATCGTTCTTTGGCTGAAGGTCGCCACAAGTGCACGGGCGAGCATTTAACGACTTAGGATTACTACAGCTCAACGTCTATTCATCGAGAATGTTCTAGAGAAAAATCAGTCATACAACATTGATGAATAGCGCTAGGCACAATAAATAATGAATAAATATTTACTAACAATCACGCCACGTTTACTGGTCTCGTGATAAGTTCGTAAAGAACTTGTGTTACAAGTACCATATAACGGATATAAATGTAAGATTTTTTATTATACACATACATATATTTAATAGACATCCATAACCCTGGAAAAAACATTTATATTTATCATACAAATATCTTCCCTTGGCGGGATTCGAACCCGCGACCCCCCTGTGTAGTGACCATGTCACTTACCACTACACCAGACGGTAGGAGTGGGTAATATCGGTTTTGCCGCGTATCGAATCGTATCTATATATCGAGGATCAATATCGGATATTGAATCTATATATTTTCTGAATCTATATATTGATGGATGCTAGTAGATTTTCTCGATTCATGATATTTGAGATTTGAGACGATACGCTGATATAATATCGTAGTAGATATAGATTTAAGTCAACGTTATACTGTTGGTTTTCTGATATCAATTTATAATATGATCTTAAAGTAATAAAAAGAACATGAAAATAAAAATATCAAAAAAACTTTCCTTCATGCTTTTACCAGGCTTAGGACTGGCTACATTATTTTCAGTTTTTAGTATTTTGTGTCTTAATTTAAAATTACAAAATATACCAAAAGAGTGCAGATTTCAAAAGTTTAATACAAACAAGAAATAAACTCAATTATTTGGATTCAACTAAAAATAGAAAAATGTGTACTTTAAAAATCAAACACAAAAAACTTTTAAGTATTTTAAACACTTGTCCAAAAATTCTAGTTCAAGGTCAAAGCGCGTGAAATTAAATTCAACGATGCAAATAGGCTATACTGCATTCAAGTTAGGGTCGAAAGTTGAAACTTCTTTCCTTAATTGTATCCTGCTGATACGCTAAGAATAATCTACAGACATATGGACTTAAATATAAGGTTTACAATTGTATGGATAATGCCTGTTTCTGTTTCATTCATCACATGATATCCCTATCGTGCGCTCACTCACTCTGGCCGATTCGATACGAACCAAACGAATATTGCTGATATTAACGAATCGGTACGATATGCCGATGCGCATCACATCGAGCAATATCGTGTATCGGCTGATATCGAAATATAGATTTCGATTCACGAATCGGTACGATATGGCGATGCGCATCACATCGAGCAATATCGTGTATCGGCTGATATCGATATATAGATTTCGTGCGGGGCGATATCGGATTCAACGATATCGCTGCGATATATAGATATTGAATCTATATACGATTTATATCACCCACTCCTACCAGACGGCCGTTATACAGTTGTATTAGCGATCCAACTTTAAAACCACTCTTGTATTAAGATAATCGTACGTAATATTAATTTTCCATTAAAAGGCGCACATAATATAAAAAAAATATTTCACAATTCGTCTTGCTTTAACAGTAAGGAAGCGGTCATCATTGAGAAGTGATAACTGGTTCACAATGCGAAAACTAATTGTGTCCTTAAAGTGACCGAGGGGTCACCTTAGATTATCAATGCTGATAAAAATAACATATTATCTTTTATCGCGAGTAATCATATTTACGTATACCCGCTTTTCAGGTGATATAATAGAAACATGATTACGATATTTAATTTGAAAATAAGACTTTAATATCTAACTAAAACTTAATTTTCTTACTTTTTTTCTTACCAGGACGTCCCTTTAACTTGAAATTTAGCACGCGCATCAAACACTGGTGATGATAATACAATAATTTTATAACTTCGCTCTATTATGCGCGCTTTCCTGCTCAGTATCTATAGAATGAAAAAAAAGATGAAATTAAGTGTTATTTTCGTTTGCTATTTGACTATGTGATTTTTTTCTTTTTAAACTATATATATGGATTATTTTTTTACTACTTCATACATATACTACTCATTTTTATTACTAAAGTATTTGGATGGAATTAAAATTTATTTGTAAGTTTAAAATATTAAATATGATCTAACGCAACCGAACTTTTTATTTTATTTTAAGGAAAATTATACCAGATAAGTAAGCCGTTAAGGCTTATTTTTAATTATTGTAAGATTAAAGTTATAAACATTCTAAAAATACCATTACAGATAAAATACTACGGCTTATGTCGTGAATCAGTGTCAAAATTAATTATAATAATGTGCCTTTATAGACTAATAGACAATGAATCTGTGCTTTAATACTAAGGGGTCATTTTAGCTTTCTTTTTTTTATTGCCCTTGTATGCAGACGTGCATACGGCCCACCTGATGGTGAGTGTTTACCGTTGCCCATAGACTTCAGCAATGCCAAGGGCAGAGCCAAGCCGCTGCCTACCGTTGTTAATATATAGATAGATATAATTAGATACAAAATTAAAATCCCCTTCATAAACATAGCATAGCAGCATTAAAATTACGTGAATCGTTGATATAAAAAGCAAATACGAGTCAAGATACGAGAAAGCGAGAAAGGAAAACAATTTTTATCAGAAGAAAATTAATATTATTCTAGTGTAACGTAATGTTTTGTTTGTAAATACAGTACTTAAAGTAGAGTTACATCACGTAAAAACTTATCGTGTTAAGGTAATCATTAGGTGTTTTTTAGTAATATTAATGAGCACACAAGCTCAACCGTTTGGTGTTACGTAGACGCTGAAGCCTGGTTGAATGATACGGTCGATAAGGAAGCCTTTTTTTTTTAAGGCTGGGGAATCCATTTACGGATACCCGGTCGAGGGGGGTAAGAGACCGGGTTATGTCGGACTCCCGCGCCTCCAGAGAAGAACAGGGAGAAGAAGAAGACAGGGGTCCTCCTCTTCTTCCAATGCCTGCCGGGAGACTACACCTTGAGAAAGGCGCGCGAGGCACTGCACGGCGTCAGCCACGCAAGAGCTACCCCGCAAAACCGACTACCGACTAAACCCCATCGAGCCCCAGCACTCCGACTCTACGAAACCCACGGGGTAAACGCACAGTGGGCGCCGAAGGCTCACCGTCGCGGGGTACCCGTCCTGATAATAGGATCGATAAGGAAGCCTAGGCCTTTGCCACCGTAAATATACTGCAGGCCCCTCGTCCTAAATACTTAACAACCTGTTTGCGATTAAATAGAAAACTGAGCTGAAACTAGTGTGTACCGTCTCAATATTAAAGATGAAAAATAAATCATATTTCTATTAATCCATCGAAAAATTACAGAGAAACAAAAAAAAAATTAGCGCGTATTTCATGTTTACTTTTTATTTATTTATAATTAACGTATCTTAGGATTTTACGATTTTGTCACGTTATTTTATTTCATCGATTCAATTATTATTATTGTTATTTATTTTCCATGTGCGGAATACTCACTAATCTGTTTCCGTGGTCATCGGTCCTGACATTTTTCATTTATTTTCTTCACATTTAGACTTTATTAAGCAAATAAATGAAAACAAGTATTAATATTTACTATGAGCCTGTCTCGTGTTATAACAATGAAAAATCTGTGTAATTAGAGAAAGTAGTACAATAACTTAAAAGAAACTTATCAACTGAGAAACTGAACGATTTAAATATTAAAAAAAATATTCACAATCCTAGCGTAATACAATTCAACGTTAACGTGTTTGAAGCGTTGATAAGAGGTCATTCACATGACATTGATAAACAAATATTGGCCGAGAAATTGTTCGGGTCAAAATTCTTAATTGACCCTCGAAACAGAATTTCAATTGTCAAATTTATTGTACATCCTTGCGTGCAGAGAACTAGAGTTGGTTTGATATTTTTAGACTGATTCGTATGCTGGTACCATCACTCTGACTGTTTCTGCCGTGAAGCAATAATAGGTTTCGTTTTGAAGGCTGTAAAACTAAGACTTAGAACTCATTTCTCAACAGGTCTCTCAGGTTTTAGTTTGTATGTGGGAGAACAACATCAGTACATTACTATGCAGACAGACTCAAATCCCCTATTATAGACCCTGTGATCTTCTGAGGTCGAGAATCTCGGGATTGATATTTAGAGCAGTGTACAGAATAAAGTTCTTTCGAAATTATAATTCGTTTATTAAATCTAGAGGTCCTCAATATGGCGTAAAGGTACCTCTTACAAATTCTTTTAGTATACAAATTATAGAATTCAACTAAATAACAGAGCCTCTCTAGGCTCCTATTACCAGTTGCTTCTATTTGGTTTCATACTCTGATTAAATTACTGAGACCATTCTTGTCATGTACAATCCGGCTCTAGGTTGAATTGCAAATCGATTTAATAGCAGCTTGTACTCACTTCAAAAGGGTCATGAATTCATGTAAACAAAGCTAACAGGAGGGGACAATATATCCACCACGCATGCGTAGCACATACAACGCATGCGCCCTAACGTCATAGTGTGCACAAATCGAAATACTCCCTCACGTTCAAAACAAATATATTTTTGCCTGTTTCTACTCACAAAAATTGCATTACACCTTCTCTTTCGAACTAGCTACACATACTTTTTAAATGGGATGCGTGCGTTTCCTCTTATTGACATTTAATTTGACTGCTTGTCTAAGGCCACCTATAGACCAGTTGTCACAGATTTCGTTATTGTTTACATCGATTTGTTTAAGCCCTGTTTTTACAATTCTTAAAAAACGTGCTCGATTGCAGAGATATTGGTGAGTCTTCGATACTTAATTACAATATCGATTATATAATGTGGCTAACATAATAGCATTAATGCCTAAACGACTTGATGACTTTCAATCTCGGAGGAAAATCGATTTTTGGTATTCAAGAAAATTTGTTGATCTTTTTCTATCTATATATATAAAAATGAATTGCTGTTCGTTAGTCTCGCTAAAACTCGAGAACGTTTGGACTGATTTGGCTAATTTTGGTCTTGAATTATTTGTGGAAGTCCAGAGAAGGTTTTAAAAGGTAGCTAGATATGAAACTGCTCGGAATTAAATAAAAATAACAATTTTGTTTTCCCTTTGATGTGTCCCTCGTCGGACGGATTCCTTTTGTTTGTTTTAAGTTTATTTTATACAAAAGTTTAGGTCTTTTACTTATCGATTGAGGCACTACGAAGTCTGCCGGGTCAGCTAGTATAAGATAAAACAGCATATGCTCAAGGCAGGTGTATCCTTATCCCGTAGCGCACTGATTACTTTGTTTTCAATCGTTTTACACTAATCGTAAATATTCCAATTAAAACTACTTTAGCTTGATGACTAATAAGAATTGAAAGCCACCAATTAATGGTTTAATATCGTCGTTAGAAAGGAGTAATGGCAGATGTTGATTGTCGTATCGTGATTGCTGGCACCTGGCCGTTTAAAAGTATCCTTTCGTCTATTGGAGTAAATCTAATTTACTTTTTAAGCCAGTCACTATGAAAAATGAAATGTTCGTCAAAAAAATAATCATATTGCATTCAAATATTTTTTTTTTTACTGTAATTTTAGGTCGGCGAGTATACGATACAGCTGATTGTAAGTATTCACAGTCGCTCATGGACATCAGCAATGCTAGGGGCACAGCTAAACCGATTTTAAGTTTATTGATGATTTTTGGAATCAAAATGAATAAGATTTTACCTTATTTAATCTCACATCATCTATCACACCAGGATATTTCGTAAATAATAATTTAAGCACTTCATAAATAATGTTAATACTTTAAAAAATATAAATAGCTTCTTAAGCGTACGTCACTGCCCCATAGTTTCAGAATTCCGAATAATATCTGGTGGTAGGACCTCTTGTGAGTCCGCGCGGGTAGGGGCCACCGCCCCGCCTATTTCTGCCGTGAAGCAGTAATGCGTTTCGGTTTGAAGGGCAAGGCAGCCGTTGTAACTGTACTGAGACCTTAGAACTTATGTCTCAAGGTGGGTGGCGCATTTACGTTGTAGATGTCTATGGGCTCCAGTAACCACTTAATACCAGGTGGGCTGTGAGCTCGTCCACCCATCTAAGCAATAAAAAATAATAATAATGTATTGTCGTTTTTTTTGACTAGGACGACGAAACCGCATGAATGAAAACACACGAGATCATTTTTTTATGTTATTATGTTTAGGTAAACGGTAATGTGTGGGCCGGACGAGGATGTTATTACAGGTCTCATAAGTTTACATTTGTTTTATAATATGAATAAAGATAAGGAGTCACGGTAACATAGGTGTCTACGGGCAATTTTAAGAACATAATTGTATTTTAGGTCTCGCAGGAGTAAAGTAAATTAACATGGCGTATTCGTTTATTGAGTTTCAATGCTTGGGAATGTTAATAAATAGTTTACTCAAAAACCACTTTTGAAGTTACGTCGGAAAATGTTTTTCGTTAAAGTTTTTTTTTTAATAGCAATGAAACAAAAACTACGTAGCACTCAGGAACGGATGTTTAGTTACTTATTTTTCATGAAGTTTTAGTTTAGTTTTTACTAGTGGTAGGACCTCTTATTAGTCCGCACGGGTACCACCACCACGCCTATTTCTGCCGTGAAGCAGTAATGCGTTTCGGTTTGAAGGGCGGGGCAGTCGTTGCAACTATACTGAGACCTTAGAACTTATAACTCAAGGTGGGTGGCGCATTTACGTCGTAGATGTCTATGGGCTCCAGTAACCACTAAACACCAGGTGGGCTGTGAGCTCGTCCACCCAGCTAAGCAATAAAAAAAAAAAACTAAGCAATAAATAAAATAAAAGTTGAGTAATGTGGATTTTTTAAAGTTTTTTCAGTTTGTGATTATGGAAAGTGCGTAGCACAGCGCTAATGTTTCACACTGTTTTTCTTCAGACGAGGCTTAGTAAGAGCTACTCGTCCATGCATAACTAGAATAGCCTCTTAAGCTACCAGGGATTAGGTAGGGGAAATAATGTAAGAATATTCAAGTTCAAGTTCGACAGTGACCTGGTTATGGCTGACATTACTGATGTCGATGGTGGGGGGTGACCACCGGCCTGTACTCTGCCGCCAATGGTAAAAAAAATGATACCACCCTGTCTTCAAAACCAATCACTAACAACTTCACTAGGTAATGATATTATTTGCGATGAAATTCGATCTTGGTTGCTGTAACAGCGGAAACCTAAACCTAGGACTAAGATATAAATGATTAGATAATAGATAGAAATGAATATTATTATTTACAAATTAAAATTAGAGATTTATTTAAATTAAAGCGTTCGGTGAATTTCTTTGCGTTTATCTATCTAATTAAACTATACTTTAAATAAAATTAAATAACCACATTCATCACTTTTTCTGTACTTCATTATATCATTTTTTTTTCTGTACCTACCTATTTCATTTGATTTATTTACGGACTGTGCTAAAGTTAGGAAATAAATACTACCTACGTACCTACGTTGCAATGGGTATACACTGAAAAGAAATTGTAATAAGATGTCACATTTTATTTTGTTATTTAATCAACAACTATTAATTCTAAATAGATTTAATTTAATTCGTTAATTCGGTTTTTGCGTTAAAGAACAAAGGGCCATCTGGTAGAGCAGCTTTTTCGAACGCTTCCTTGCCCTTAGCTTTCTTATCGGTCGTCTACCTTACAAAGTCAAACATGTCATGGTACCGAAGCGAGATACGTTTGTTGGCACGTGCTTGGATAAGATAATGCGCTGGCTTTCAAGGAAGATGAGTAAATATTTTCGACGCGTATCACTTCCGGATTTATCCTGTGAGATCTTATGAATAACGAAGTTAATGTCGTTCTGTTTGTGTTGTGTTGTTATACACTAACGGATGACATGTTTTATTGGTTATATAATTTTATTAGACAATTCACTTGTCGCCTGACTATTCGCCTGCGTGGACTACACCTTAAATAGCGTGGGCGGAGAACGGTACTTAGCGGTGGGAGTAAATTGGTATTCACGAATAATATTATTTACAATGTAACTTCTAAGATCGAACAGTACAAAAGTAAATTCTAAAAATATTATAAACGTCGATTAGTTTTTTAGTAATTACTGTTTTCAATCAAATATGCCTATATCCTAACCCCAAATTAATCTCTGTCTACCTACAAAATCTATGTGAACAACTGTATAGGATGTTTGTACGTAATTCTGTAGATACATACATATCTGCATACATATAGACAGATCGAAAAAAAATACCGCTGATTTACTTTCTATAACTACGTGACTACCCTCTTTCTATTTTTATTAATTTTTTTCAGTGTTCATATAGACTCACCTGATGACTAAGTTGTATTTCTGTTGTAGGTTCATCTCAAAATTATTATAACATCCGTACAGTCTCACTCATATGCTGGAGTGGAGACGATAAAAAATTATAAATTTAAATTTAATTTTTAGTTTTAATATTAGTTCGATTTACAGCACACCTGGTGTTAAGTGGTTACTGCAGCCCATAGACATCTACAACGTAAATGCGCCACACACCTTGAGATATAATTGTAAAGTTTATATAATTTTTAACGAATTATACGAAGTTATTCTAATAAACAAGCCATTGTAGGAGCACTATGAAAATTTGCAACTAAAGTGCTGCACATTATTTTCAATCAAAGCAGTGGGAAGTGTTTCGTATTTCAACATCAAGAATGCGTCTTATTCTAATCAAGTCACATTTAGAACTCGATACTTTATGATGCAAATGCAGTAAACGGCATTCCGATGCCAACCCAACTGGCTCGTTTTGTATATTTGATTTCATATATATAAATCTCACCAGTTACCTAGTTTCGAGAAAAATGCTATTTAATAGTTTTAGTAGTTTAGGTAGGCAACTGTTCGGTTCTGCCCCTGGCATTGCTGAAGTTCATGGGCGACGGTAACCACTCACCATCAGGTGGGCCGTGTGCTCGCCTGACGACAAGGGCAATAAAAAAAATTTTGCACATATACATAGTGCAATTAAGATATTGTGAACTGATAAAAAAATTATTTATTTATTTATTTATTTATGTACACACAGAAAAGAAGACATAGTACAGAGTAATAGGAAAATTATGTACAAAGGCGCTGCTTATTTCTTTAAGAAATCTCTTCCAGCAGACCTGCGAGAGGATTATGAGATTAATAATTAAAAGTGATGAGTGTGTGCAGAACAAATAACACATAACTAAAATAACAAATACAACATGAGAATTATAGTAATGCACATACACATAGCAAAAAGATCTATGTTAAAAATCTATATTGGCTAATTAAAAATGCAATGGTTTAGTGGTTTATTCCTTCGTTTATATCACGCTCATTAAAATTGATACTATGTATTGTTTAGTGAAAGATTTAGCATTGCTTAGATTTGATTTAGCATAGCATTCTTTACTTAGTTATTTACAGATCGTAAGTAATTCGATTTTATTTTATTTAAAGTACGCCTTGCATGGCATTTTCTAATAACCTATTTGAACTTATCTATGGTACTATCTAGTAAATGCTTTCTTAAACACACGCGGCTCCAAATGTGCGTGTCGGAATAGTTTAGTTTAATCTATGTATTTACTATGTCATTGTCTGTTAGTTGTCAAGAAAAAGTGTCAGAGGTAAGACGTTCCGTTGTTAAGACGAGAAATAAAATTAATTGTAAAACACTCGAGGAAGTATTGCTTTATTCTACTACGCCATCCCACATAATTTTTGGCGCGTACATTCAAGATAATATATGACAAACGCCCGATC